ATATAAATATAAAAATTGATAAAATTAACTAAATCAACATACCTATAATTTATTGTTTTGATGCTTAAGACAAGGTGACAACTTCACCCGCCATCCTTTTTAGAGGGAGGGAGCAACACATTTCTAATTGTTCATGCAAAACGATTCAATTTAACTTAATGTTTCATTTAATTAACATGTTCAATATGATTTATTATGAATTCATTAAAAAGTTAAAACTTGCATTTAGCAATCAAGAATTACAACTTGAAATTTAAAAGTTTCAAATTAAAGAGGTTTGGAAATGAGAATATTCAAATAAATGGAGGTGCTTTCAAGATTTATTTTCACAATAAATTCTCTTGTTTAGTATAGCTTTTTCTTTACATTACAACCACAAAGATTGACATAATCCCAAATACCATGAAATCAGACCAAACAATTCCACTCCCACTTCTCCCCACCAACACACTTTTTGACATCCCCTGAAGACCTCTATTCTCATTGAGCCAGCATTATTGGGAGCTTAATCAAGCAAAAGTCGGGACTGTCCCTAAAAAAAAAAAAGATAAAAGGTGGAGAAAACAATAAACATGGTGGAGATTAATTTAATTTTTAATTTAATTAATTAATTAATCTTCCACCAACCTAATCAATTTGTACAGACACCTAATCCACGACTCATCTTTTCACAGTCTTTCTTTACAAGTCAAATTTTTAATACCCTTTTCCCAAATGAACAAAAGTGGTACTCTTTGAGTCTCCAAATTTGCTTTCCTTCTGAGATTCAACATCTTCGGAACCACTCTCTAGCGGTTCGAATTCCTTTGTTAATGTTGAGTATTCAACCTTTTCGTGGTAGAATTTTGCCAAAAACATATAGAAAGTGATTGCAAAAATGGAGACAAACACCAGGAACCAGCTGAATTGGAGGTTAACCAACGCTTTGGCGCGATGGAGTGCTTCATCGCTCGAGCACTGGACCACTTTGTGACCCATCTCAAGGTGGAGGACGCAACCTTTAGAAATCAACCCTGGGGTCCAGAGCATGTAGCCCATAAGTATGAGCCAGACCCCTTGGAATACAATACTGAGGGACCTCACAAAGCTAATCATGAAGCTTTTAGGCATCCCAATTCCCATGAGAGTAGTGGCTAAACATACAACAATTGCGCTTTGGAGGAGAAGATGGTATTGGCCCTCAACCCCCATGTGGTCAGCAGAGTGGAGGTGGAAGAGGAGAAGCTGTTGGGCAAAGGCTACAGCTCCTAGAAATTGTGTCAAGTCATGTTGGGCTTTTGGGGCTGTTTTGTCGAGGAGAATTGCTAAGGCTGCATAGGCAAAAAAGGTCATGGAAATTGCAGAGTGCTCAAAGTTCTGGAGGTGGTTTGATGGGATGGTTCCATCAGGGTCAAAAGGTTGGTGCTTTTCAGGGCCAATAAAGAGTTCCATGGAGATGGAGATGGAAGAGCCTACCATTATTAAGAAGAGCTCTATGTACCTTATTTTGGAGGTGGGAAACCATGGAGAAGATGTGTATGAATTTGGGTGGAGTAAATGGAGTTTGATGTGATTAAAGAGATGCCATAAACCAAGTGCAAGGAAAGCAAAGCCTGGCGCCACATGCCCCACCAAAGTACCCATGTTTTTGTGACCAAAGTTTTGCCTTTCTTATCCCCTGGAGAGAAAGGGAAGAGGAGGGGAAGAGGAAAGATGAGGAGAATTTGATTGAGGGAGAGGGGAAGGGGTGGGGCTTTAAGATAGAGTTGGGTTTGAAATTCCAAGGTGTCTAGAGGCTTCCAAGAGGGCGATTTCAAGAGTTTGAACTTCAGGGG